AGCAATGTAGGAAACAATGACAAATCCAGGACTGATGCTCCTTTGACAACTCCTATTTCTTCTACTGCTTTTTGTCCATAGCCATTTGGATTTTACATGTGTTATTTTCCTTTTGTGAATTTTAAGCATCATTAACAAACATTTTTTCTGGCTATTTTGGGGTGGGTTTGTTTTGTGGGCTGTTTTGCTTTTAAATGTTTACATCTCCATAGCCACAAGGCTTAGAGAGTGAGCTCAAACAGAAAGCATTCAAGAATTTCAGCTTCCCCAGAGAAGGTGGTTGCCATAAGGAAGAATATTTCTGCATAGCTAACATAGGATTGGCATGCTTAGCACCAAAAGGACATTTGATAGGCGTGTTTACTTTCTGTTCCTTGCAGAGGATTGAGCTAGTGAGAGTTTTTCCGTTTAAAAGAGAGAGGTAGAATTTCAAAAGCAGTATTTCTGCTTTTGTGGAAACTTTTTGGATAGAAACATTTAAACTGAAAAATTCATCTTTAAAATTAAAATTTTCAGGGGGGTTCGGTATGCAATTCTCTTCTTTAATCCTTTTCCTACCACCCCATCTTATCCCAGAGCAAAATAAAACAAAAAGGAAGAAAGAGGAGAAAACCCTAAAGTTTATGTATGAGTTTTTCAAAAAAAAAAAAAAAAAAATCTGGAGGTAGCAAATTTTTCTGAAAACTATATTGTTGGTTTCTTTTTAACAGGTCTGCTCTGCTAAACAGATTGGCAGCAAGTTAAAGTCCCAGTCACATGGAAGGACAGGCTATTACAGATAAAACTTTCCTGATCTAGGCTGAGAATGGAGGCATTTGCCTTTGGTGAACAACTTTGTGCATTTAGCCTGATGTTTTTAGAAGGTGCACAAGGGAGTTTTGAGAACCAAATTCCACAGCACTTCAATGGGATTCAGATAGCATCCAACTCCCTTGGGTCCTCTAAACCAAAATAAGATTGCGTTTTCAGTAGTTTGAAAATAGAATAGCAACTGGAAAAACTCCCAAGTCAGCCTCTTAGTTGCACATAATTCAGAAATGTCTGCACAACTGTGCCTGAAGCCTGGCTTGTGCATCAATAGGAAACTAATGGTTTCATTTAGGGTAGCATTTTTTGGTGACCAATACATAGTCCTATCAGTATGACTGTTAGCAGGGACACAGATAAACTGCCCTTAATGCGGGCTAGTATAAAAGCACCTTGTTCTGAAGTAACTTATTCCCTTTTCTCTTCGGGAAAGAACCTTAGCCACATAAAACGCCTTTAAACCAGTATTATTGCATCTATATTAGGAGTTGTACTACTTTATTCTAGAATAATTCAAATCTGTCCAGTTTAGACCAGACTTAAAATCTCTAGATGATACTTGAGAAATTAATGAATGAACTGTTTAATTAATTATTTTAATTCATCTTCAGCACAAAGAAGTTGCCCTCTCTAGGAAATTAAATTTTCTTCCATCTTGCATGATATTGAGCATGATTTTGCAGTCAGTATACGCAGGGGTGACTGATTATCAAGAGAGAAACTCACTAGCAGAGTCCTAGGTATTTCTGGACAGGTGCATCCATTTCAAAGTGACAAAATAAGTAATTTATTCCAGGAGCGAGCAAGCTATGTGCCCATGGGCCAGATCAGCCCAGACAGATTTTATCCAGCCTGCCAAGCACATTTGTACAAGAATGCGCCATCTAAAGGCCATCTTCCTCAGCTGCCTCCTCCAGTCTGCCACCTCCGTCAGCTGCTGCTGCCACCGCCTCAGACCTAAGGGAGGGACTAGCTGCTACTGAGAAGTTGACGACCCCCAATTTATACCACTTAAACATGCACATATGTATATTATATAGCATGCCAATTTGGAGTACAAGGCTGAAGACGGACAAGACAGAATTTCACATAGGAAGGCTTCCAAAACCCATCCCCATTTTCAATTTAGCCTGCTTCAGCATAGCTACTTTGTGAGGTCATCAGTTATTTGCAGTGTCCTATAGCAGTGGTCAAGAGTTCAGCGGCAGCCCCTTTGTCTGCTAGCATACAGTACCCTCTCCTCCCATTGCCAAAACAAGATTGCTTTAAAAAAAAAAAAAATCCCACTAGAGCTACCTACACAGATAATCACAGGAATATACATTTACAGCATAGTAAGACTAACCCTACTGTAGCATTGGTTTTGCACATGCAGGGGTCCTCAATTACCTTTCATGGATTCTGGATTATTGCTGTCAAGCAAAACTACTGATTATTACAGTGGGGAGGACAAGCCAGTTTGGCAAAAGAACGTCATTTCAGGAATTGCCGAGTTTCAAATGACTTTGTCCATAGCAACAGCTATGCAGTGAACAAGCAGCTCGTATACAAGAGGAGGGAATAGGTGCTTGCTGTGCTCTACATTTAGCGTGGTTTGAGAGTTTGTTCACTTGCTTTGCCTCCCACCTCACTGCATTTACAACCTGCTGCATAAGCAGGAGCCTAGCTTACTAGGAGCTCAATTTCCTTAACGGGAAGGAGACTAAGGCAGGTCACAACGAATTGCTTAGCCTTACAATAAAAGGAGAGGGAGCAAGTCAAAGCCAGAAGCAGATACACTGGGTAAGGCCAGGTTTGTTTTTGGCGCAAGGGGAGAAGTGAGATAACAGACATACGCAGCAGAAGAAATTTAGATGGCATTATGGTAGGATACTTCACAGTACATCAGTGCATTGAGATTTTTCTGAGCAGGGTTGGCTGATGTGTGAAAGGGAGAAGATAATGACAGTATTTATCCGATTACTTCACTGTATTTTGGGCCATTGATTTAAACTGTACATGAAGCAGTAACAACCAGTCAGCAAAACTCTAAGCCAACACTTAGAGATAACCACTTGCTCCATTAGCCTGCAAAAGAGAAGTAAGCAAGTCAGAAGGGGCAAAGTATGGGGAAACATTCAATACCCAGCATTTAAACACTTTATAGAAAACCCTTAGGTGCTTAACAAGTGACATGATAGGGTTCTGGATGCTTCCTTGGACCGCAAGGTAGAAATGTGAACAAAACTGGAATGACGGGGAATGAAGAAGAAAAATAGTTGGATGGATCTTAAGGTACAACAGTCAGCCAAAGCAAGTGGAAGCGGAGGTAAAGCCGACTACCTATTTAAACCCTTTTGCTGTTTGTAGCCAGAAGAAAATGCCTCAGTGCTCAGATTCAATGGGACAATAGCACCACACCATGGCCATTCAGAGTACTGGCTCCCATCTGAAGGAATGCCTAGCTGTCACCTACCCTTCCTTCAAGGAGGAAGTTGGTTAGCTTCCTACCACTGGAATCACTCCTCTCCCAAATCTGGCTCAAAAAGGCTTGTTTTTCTATGGCTGGAGAGGAAGGCACCCTTTTACCAACAGTATAACCTCAGATAGGGTGAGTATACCCTAGTATGGTTTACTGTATGGTAGAGCCAAACTTAGCAAGGCCAGGCTTGGTATACAGAAGTAAAATCTAGCAAAGGGGACTACATAAGAGGACACAAGGGGTATGTTGAAAGCAAACATGTTGAGGCAAGTTTTAGAAATGATGATGGTTATAAGGCTGAGGGGATCAAGTTGCCAGAAGGACTCCATATCCTATGTTTGCATTGCCAGATGACAACACACATGGCAAGTCCTCAAGGATGGCCTTCTGAGCTTTCTTCCTCCTCATGTCCTGGAAAGAAAGATACCGCATGCTTGAGAACTTGTTTAAAGAGAGAGCCAGGGAATGTAATCCCAAATGAACTAGGGAAGAAGAGAAGCAGTGTTTTCTGAAGACAGAGCTACATAAAGCTTAGAGAAAAAATAAATGCTATTATGGAAAAAAGTCACATGCTGTTTTTATCTGCACACACTGTCTGGCACTCGGACTACTCTGCCCCTATCACACCACTCTATGCCAGCACCTTCTTGTCACTAAAGCCCTTTACTATAATCCACTTAAGATAACACAGGGATATCTTATTAACCTAAGCAACAAGCTCTTGAAAGAGAGGGATGCTCCGAGACTAACTGTACTGATGACAAAAGGCAGCTCTATCCTTTCTTTCAGTGTGAATGGAGAGTCTTTCACTGCCTGGTTTATCAAGAGCCAATGCACATTTTCAAGAGTTATTTTTCCTCCCTATGGGTCTGATCCAAAGGCCACAGCAGTCAGTGTAGTCTTTTCACTGCCCACATAGAAAAAAAAAAGTCACTGAATTAAGGTTTATAAGGATATGGGTAAGAGGACTGCCAGTTCCCATGTGCTTGTCCAGCAAATCCCAGCTCTGTCCTTACATTGCAAAGAGTGAGAATTCTAGGCCCAAGAGACCGGACTGGAGAACACCTTATCTGACCGAGCCAGATTCCTCCTTGGGTTAACGAAAAGAACATTGCCTTATGAATACTTTGGTCAGCAAGGCAAGTTCTCAGATATCCTACTCCCTGCAGCCTCTAGAAAGAACTACCCACATTCCACCATCTCCTGTCCAAGACAAAGAGATATTCACTGAAGAGTAGGAACCCAGCTTCTACTACAGGGTACCTTCCTACCCACTGGGCCCCCTTCTTCACCTGTGTAGAATTATCCTAGCTACCCATAATGTATGGAACTACACGACCGAGTTTCTCCTACATCAAGAGGCAATGTCCCACCTACCTGGTTAATTAGTACTCTGGACACACTATTGTTCCGTTGCATCATCTATCAACACCTTCTTGTACTGGCCATGTCCAGTTGATACGAATTTGTACTTCTTGCCAGGAGTGCTCTGAAAAGGAGAAAAAGAGTTAACATCTTTTCTCAAATGCACATCTCCCTGGCTGCATCTCCTCTGCCAGGGTTAAGAGATGATTAAGATATCTAAATACATGTTAGGGATTGAGAGCCAAGTTAACCAACACCCGAGGAGTCAGTGAGAATCTGGCTTGCATCACTACATTTGTTTAGATTCCTACATTTCTCGGTTTGCATTTGCCTCTTCACCTTCACCACCACCCACATTTGTCCTTAGACAAAGAGGAGGTTAAATCACTTTGGGACCATCAGCTAAGATGGACCTCTTTAAGACTCATACCCATCCAGATTACAAAGTAGCTTAGGGTATGGTCTGGGAGGCTTGCCTAACAAGAACAAAGGCAGTATTCCAGCTGAAAGTCCTATAGAACCAAGGTAATCATCTGGAACCCGGGGGGAGGGGGAGAAGGTAAATACACATTTTTGCTATGTACATGCACCACTAGAGGCCACTACTCTTCTCAGAACAAGGCAAACAGCCCAGCAATAGCAGTTTACAGGAAACCAAACCCAGGTCTTTAACTATTCTCCCCTAGAGAGAGACTGTTTAAACTTTAAAGGCTATTAAAAAAAAAAAAAGAGCCAGAACCATGAGTCGGATCCAGATGCAAACACACCAGAACAGTATTTGAAATCTTGGCTTAGGCTAATCATTACATTAGTAAGGACACTTATTAGAATAGAGAGAAGTTTAGAAAAAAATAGCTCCCAATGTGCCTTCCTACTGCCCTGTCCCCCTTCATATAGTCCTGAAAGACTCAGCAGGTTACTGTTATGAAGGAAACCCTTTGACCTAGGCCTGTGGTTGCCTTGGGGCATAAACTGATGTTGCCTGCCAACATATGGACCTCCTCCTTTTTCCATGTTCCCTCTCACCCAAGGAAGAAGTCTCTGTTCTATACTAGAAAGCACAGATGCCAAGAAAAACAAGTATCTTACCTTGGCATTGCCTTCAAGCTTTGGGCCACCTTTCTGTTCCCAAAGGCTTCGTTTACTCACAATGTCTCCAGCCACAATGTCCTGAAAACCAAAGATGCTTTTCCTTAACCATCAATATTGATGAACACCACATTTTACTCCTGTCACCTGCCTAGTTTAAATCAAGGGCATGGACAGAAGGATCAGACAGTCCTGCTGGGCAGGGAAGTGGCCAAATGCCATAGCCCACAATGAGATCCCTCCCTTTTTTCAGCTATCCTGAACATATGTTTAACTTTAACATTATACTGAGTTTAAGGCCCAAGCATAAATTTTGTAAGAGATGGGAATGGTGTTATTAAGATGACTGCCAACATTCAAAGAATTTCACACAATAGCAATATTTTTTTTTTTCTCCCATTTCCATACATTTGCAACCCTGGTTTTGCAAAACTATGCTAGCTTAGAGCCAGACGATGCAACCAACTAGAAATGGTGTGAAAGAGTAGCCTCCTCATTTTCCAAGGTCACACTATCTCCCTCCTTGAGATTAGGAGCTGTTAGCACTCCAACTCATGTTAGTTCCTGATTATACAGCTACAGGAAGCCACCACTTCTAATAGTGCAGGTTTATTCCTGTTTCAATTAGGGAGAAGATTACTTTCTGTCTCTGGAGTTTGCCCAGTTGTAGCTTAATCCTAGGTACAGAGAAGGCTTAAAAAAGGTGCTGAAAGTAGAAAGTGAACACTGAAAGTTTGAGAGTCATCCCAACAATAAAAGGAGAGAAGGAACCATATTCTGTTGATGTTGTCACTTAAGATGTACTACTTCTGATGTCATAGTTCAAGTTAAGACTCCGAAGTACTACCAGGTAAGACAGGCAATGAATTTATTTCAATCAGCCCAACCAGTCATATAACAGGATAAGGTATCTTTCTAAAGCTTGTGACACTAAATGCAGGGGGAAGTCCTAAGGTAAGAGAAAGAACTCTTTTCTTCACGGTGCAGAAGGTCCAGCAGTTTTACCTTACAGGCTGGTGTCTTAGGAGACGCTTGAGCTGTGACCTCTCCAGTCTCCCAAAGGCTTTTCGTGCTGGCAACAACCATACCAGCAGGAAGGTCAATGGATGGTTGTCGGACAGGTTTCGGAGCCTTAGCAGATGTCTGGGAAACAAGCAAAAACAAGCATTAGACACAGATTTTTCTGTGAATAAAGGTTCTTATGGTAAGTCAGATTGCTATTATTCCCCACTCAATACATTAACGCACAGAATCAAGTGTGCCCAGTGAAAACAGAGTAGCTAGAAAAAGGTTATCCGGGCCCACTGTAGGGACATGGAGGCATAAGCGAAGACACTGCACCACTGCAGGCTGTTAAGAGCCATTTAAGCAGGTCCCTTCTCTGTTCAAACCTGCACAAGATCTCTTCTCCTAGTGAAATGAGGAGCACTGGCAGGCATATGGCAAATTCAGTAGGAACCATCTCTTCTAGTACTATTGTAGGTAGTGGTTAAAGCAGCGTCTACACTGGATAAAGTGAAAGTGCTATCGTGAGAGGATGGAGCATCCCACGGAAGTACAGGCTACATGAAGCTGGGACTAGAGAAGGCTTCAGTTATGTGGTGTGAAGAATCACCTCAATGGCATGAGTGTACTGCTCCAGTCTGTCATCAATCTTTGAAACAGGAAGGGGTGGCTGAGTCTTCTTTATGCTGTTGCTAGAAAGAGAACAGAAGAGAAGGGGGAATAAAACAATACTCTGATAAGTTTACCAGAGTGAAGCCTCCCCAAGCCTCTTATGGAAAGAGCCACTAGGCTCCTCTGGGTCAAGATTTTAGTTCAGAAAGATGACCAAGCATCCTGTTACCTAGTGGAAAGTATTCCCTTTCATCAAGGCAGCAGAGACCTCAAGCACATACAGTTCAGATGTTGCCTTTGGTTCTTGTGAGCATCTGTGGGATGACTATGTCCACAGTCAAAGCCCAGCAGAAAATTGCCAGAGGAGAGTTACCTTTTCTGTATGGAGCGGTTCAGGGATTCTGTGCGGTCTGTGATCTAACAAGGAAAAATCAGAAGAGTAGTCAGTTTTCCATGCTGTACTGAGACCCTCTCTGACCCTCCCTTGACAGGTCAGAACAAGTATTCTCCACCTCCAGCCAAGGTGCCTTAGACAGGTTCAGAAATGCCCTTCACCTTCCTGTCCAAAGCACAGAACACCCAAATGCTCAGCTAGCTCCCCACTTTGCAGTTAAGAGGAAGCCACTCCATCAGCAGCAACACAGACAGATAAGCAAAGGTGCTGCAGTTTATGGGGACCAGCCAAACTTCAGCCTTCTAGCCTAGCAATTCTCCATCTTGAGAAAAGTAATAAATAAATAAAGCACCCAAAGGAGAGAGTGCAAGGCATAACCCTTGCTTCCAGTCCATACCTAGTTACAAACATACTCTGGAAGTTGCACCTCATTCTTTGATGTTCACCTACCCTTTTGTGTCTATCTGAGTTAGCGGCTTTTATGGCAAGAGACAAAAGCTAATAGGCATCTTGGCTGCCAACTTAAGCAGCAACATGATCATCCATTCTCTTTTCCGGTCCCACCATATTCTACTATGCTAGAGGCTCCAGGGCTGGGCTGCACGGGTGTGCCTTCTACAGGACCCACAGGTGTCTGGAGAGGAGATGGATGGGAGTGTCAGGTATAGAAAAGCAAAGACAGAAGTAAAATATGAAACCCAAACAAGGGGAGAACTGAATGAGCAAATTGCTTATGATGATGAAGAATGAAGACTAGTTTTAGCACATAGAAAAGCAGGAATGCAAGCTGCAGCAGTTTGAATACACACACACAGTGTATTTAATGAGTTCTGCAAAACCAGGAATGCAATAGCAACTTGACCAACAGAGGTTCAGCCAGTACACACCTACATATGCTTCAGGGAGCTACCACGGAGGGAGACCAGAACTAAATGCCGCAAAGCAGAAGAATTTTTAAATGCCTTCAGAGGTCAATGCTAATTTTAAACCAAGCACTGAAGGATCTGACAAGACAGACAGTCACCAGGAGAACTGACTTAATAACTGGGTAGAAATATATGAGAGGTTAGAAGGGGGTGTTTGTACCCATGCTCAGCTAAGATTTATTAGGATGACTTCTCTGCCTTTACAGAATGCTTGTGTGGCGCATTCCTTGTAAAATGCAACTCTTACTGAGCAGTTCATACTGGGCCCACTTTCTGCTCTGGAAGCTTCTTCTCTTATGAGCTCAGCCTGTGAAAACAACAACTGAGAAGCTGAAGAGTGGTATCAGAACTGCATATACCATGCTATGGGGGCCTGCAATGTTCTTGTATAGCTAATCACAACTAAGTAACTCGAGCACAGGTAGCAAATGGTACTGTATACTACACTTACCCATTTCGAATGGTAAGAGATGTACAAGGCTAGGAGGGACAGGGCAGTGTCAGGCCCTCAGATTCCAATTCCCAGCTCAAGCAGCAGCTAAAATGGTACTTAAGGCAAATCATCACCACTTCTGTGACATACTACCAGTTCTCACCTGATTCCATGAAAGTGATTTTGTTATTTTTGGAAGACAGGTGATATCTGGGGACAAACGGCTCTTTTTGCCCTCCCCACCCCACCAACAGGTAATGCATCAAAGCCCTGGTCCATATTTAAAGGGAGCTACTACAAGAATGAACTACAGACATTGCATTTCAGCGTGGCACCGTCAGCTTTCATTAGACTCTGCACTGCTCACTTACCTATTCCTCAACACCAAGCCTCCCCCCAGACTCAGGCCTTCACACTACACAAGTTCTGCAATTCGTCGGTCATTTAAAAGGGCTTTATACATTTTTAAGACCAGAAACGGACCATGAGCATCTTGGCCTGACCTCCTGGAACATGGCCACAACAAAAGTCTGAGGCAAGACAGCTTTACCTGGTCTGGCTTTCCTTCTTTGGCTGTCAACTTCATGCTTTCAGCTATTCTTCCACCCCTTTTGCTTTGGTTCTTCTCCCTCCTCTCTCTCATCACAGTCCAGACTTTCCTGGCTATCAAATCCTTTCCAGTCCCAGAATGCTATAACTCCATCCACCTGAGGCCTCTGCATCTATCCATAAGAAATCTCTACCACCTCTTCACTGTCCCACTCCAAAAATGAACACTGTGGTTTATTTAAATATCCGCAGGGATATTTATCCAAGGAGTCACTATCCCAGCTGGATAGCTCCATAGAAGTATCCCAGCTCTCTCCGAGGAAGATTTCTTTGTTTTTAGACAAAGATTCAGCCTCCTATTGATAACCTTCCATCACTGCCATAAAGACCTCTTTAGAAAGACTATATATCCAGCCACTCCTTTATTGAAATATTCACAGCAGCAGCTCCCTGTGAAAGCTCAAGAAGGTGCAAGTGTTTCTGCAACAAGGTGGAGTGGCTTCCAGAAACACTTGGTGCAGGCCCTACTCTGCTTCCAATTACAAGGGCTCTGCTTATGCTACCCATTTCCTTCTCCCAGCACAGTGAGGATATTTCTCTTTGATCATCACAACCTCACAGCTTATCATGAGCAGCATACACTGCAGCCACAATCCAAATAACCAAGCCCCTCCACAGCAATAAAGCTATTTTTAATCTTTTCTATATAAAGAACAGAAGCTTTCTCTGCATCCCATTTTGGGCACCATGTCTGACAGTTAAAGATTATGAAACTAACCCCTTCCAGGAAGTTTGATAAACAGAATAAATAGGAAGTAATCATGAAATGCTAAGCAAGAATGACTCATGTACAGAGCATAATATCAGTAGGTGATTAATGGACCACCCCAATTTCTCAGCATCACCCAAAGGTGAAGTCATAGAAATGAAAGGCTGGAAGGGACCTCAAAAGATCAGAGAGTCCAACCCCCTGCTCTGGGCAGGAATTCTACTGAGAACAAGTGATCCCAGCAAGGCATCTGTCCAGCCTCATCTTGAAATAGGATGGCACTCTAAACACTTGTTATCCCCTATCCTGCACTATGGTCAACAAGGTCAATGCTTGCAAAGAATGAAAAATCCCACCACAACTGCCTCATACCCCAACCTTATATCTGCACTAGAGGTCACACAATAGCAAGGTGGCATAATACAAAAGATGACTTAATGGTCTGTGTGTACATATAGTAGGGAAAAACTGAAGAGCAAATTGAAAATAAGAAAGCAGGTTTCCATCAGATAAGTCAATGTTAATCAAAATACAAAGGTTTCGCAGGAACGTGTTGATTTTTTTTTTTTTAAACTACACAAGCTTTGATAGGAAAAGTCAACATGTTCCATAGCAACGTGAAAAAAAAAAAAAAAAAAAAAA